GCCGCATGAGCGTAACTATCCTACTCACGATCTCGAATTAGCTGCTGTGGTTTTTGCTTTAAAGGTCTGAGACACTACCTCTACGGAGAAAAGTGTTATATCTATACTGATCATAAGATTCTGAAGTATCTTCTTACTCAGAAAGAATTAAATTTGAGACAGCGTCGTTGGTTGGAGCTTTTAAAGGACTATGATTTTGAGATAGAATATCATCCAGGGAAGGCTAATGTAGTGGCAGACGCCTTGAGCCGTAAGACGATATCAGATCTCAGAGCCTTATTTGCCAACTTGAGCTTATTTGATGATAATAGTTTGTTAGCAGAGTTACAGGTTAAACCTACTTTGGCCGAGGAGATTAAGGCTAAACAACTCCTTGATAACTCGTTGCTTCCCATTATTGAACAAGCTAAGCAAGGATGGAGTTCGGAGTATACTGTGGACCAGGATGGTATTATGTGTTTTCACGGTCGTTACTGCGTCCCTAAAGATGATGAGTTGAAACGGGTTATTCTTCAGGAGGCTCATAGTAGTCCTTATGCTATGCATCCTGGTGGGGACAAAATGTACAATAATCTCAAAGAGCGCTACTTTTGGACTGGTATGAAGAAAAATATTTTAGATTTTGTGGCAAGGTGTTTGACTTGTCAGCAGGTTAAGGCAGAGCACCAGCATCCGTCTGGATTGTTACAGTCAATTAAGATTCCTGAGTGGAAATGGGAGCGAATTACGATGGACTTCGTTACTGGTCTTCCTCTAACTCCTTCCAAAAAGGATTCTATATGGGTGATTGTTGATCGACTCACCAAGTCAGCGCACTTTATTCCTATTCGGGTTAATTATTCTCTGGATAAACTGGCTAAGTTATACATTTCTGAGATCGTTAGACTTCATGGTGTTCCGTTGTCTATCATATCTGACCGAGATCCGAGATTCACTTCCAGGTTATGGAAAGCTTTGCACGAGGCTCTGGTACTCGTTTGAATTTCAGTATAGCTTTTCATCCTCAAACTGATGGACAGTCTGACCGAGTGATTCAGGTGTTGGAGGATATGTTACGGGGTTGTGTGATTGATTTCCGTGGTAGTTGGGAAGATTTCTTGCCGTTAGCTGAGTTTGCTTACAATAATAGTTATCAGGCGAGTATTGCATGACACCGTATGAGGCTCTGTATGGACGTAGATTTCGTACTCCTATATGTTGGACAGAGTTGCATGATAGAAAAACTTTGGGTCCAGACTTGGTTCGAGAGACTGAAAATACTGTCAGACTGATCCGTGATCGCTTAAGAGAGGCATTTGATAGGTAGAAGTCATACGCAGATAAGCGACGTAAGGATATTGAGTTTGAGGTTGGAGATCAGGTTTTTCTCAAGGTATCTCCATGGAAGAAGGTATTGAGATTTGGACGTAAAGGTAAACTGAGTCCGCGATTTATTGGGCCGTATCGTATTCTGAAAAAGTTGGACCTGTTGCTTATCAGCTTGAGTTACCTTCCCAGCTCAGTCGTATTCATGATGTTTTTCATGTTTCTATGTTGAGGCGATACCGTCCAGATCCAGATCACATCATTCAGGTTGATGAGGTAGAGCTGAGATCTGATTTGTCATATGAGGAGGAGCCTGTTCAGGTTTTAGAGAGGGATGAGCGAGTTCTTCGGAATAGGCGTATTCCAATGGTCAAAGTGCAGTGGAGTAATCGTAGCCCCTCAGAAGCTACTTGGGAGACCTTGGAGTCAATGGAGGTTCAATTTCCTCATATGTTTTCATAAGGTAAATTTCGAGGACGAAATTTCTTGTAGAGGGGGAGAATTGTAACAACCTGAAAATTTCAAAATAATATTTAATTGGAATTTGAAGATTTAATTGTGTTATTGGTGAATATTTGGGGACTAAATTGAAAGATTTTAAAACTTGTAGCTTGTTTTAAGGCTAAAGTAAATTCAGGGACCAAGCCCTGAATTTGCCCAAGAAAGGTTGGTAATGTTGGGCATTATATACGGCAATTGGTTTCTGATTTCAGAAACCAATTGCTCATATATTCTCCCAAAATTCCCTCTCCCAACCTCAACTTCCGACGACGATCCCGACGCCGTTCGAATTTCGATCGTCATTTTAAAACCACCATCGTGTTCATCATCGAGCGAAAAACAAACCCTTCAATTTAATTGAAGCGAAACGCTGCCAAACGTCGTGAATTTCAAGTCAAAGCATCGACTTTTTTTAAGCTCAATCGCCTAGAAAATCCTAAATTCATCGCCGATCGTTGCTCCGTTTACGACACCTCCCGCACCATCGTGTTCCTTGTGCCGTTCCGAGTTCGCCGATGTCATCCTCGATCTCCGTTGATGGCGGCGCGTGGGGAGGTGGATCAGTCAAAGATTCGGCCAAGTCGAAATCGAGCTCTCCGCCGTTCAAAAATTTGAACCGATCTTTGTAAGTATCTCGAAATCGCTCAAAATAATTTTTAGAAATTTTTCCGTGATTTTTAGAGCCCCAGAGGACGTCGCACGCGCCGCCGCAGGCGAGTGAACGCTGGAAACCGGTTTAACTGGTTTTGAACCGTTTTTGATCGGTTTGACTGGTCACGACCCGTTGACCCGTTGACCCGACCCGACCCGTTGACCGTTGACCTGTGCTATTCTGGGAATTAATTCAGTTTTAGTGCTATTATGGGAATTAATTCGAAATAGGTGCTATTTTGGTAATTTTTTCAAAAAGGGTGCTATTTTGGTAATTATTTTAAAAAGGGTGCTATTTGTGTAAAATGTTTGACAGTTTGTTGACCTCCTTTGACCAGAACTTTGACCAGCTATTAAACGACCTTTGTTTTCGACCAAGAATACCTATCCTGATAGTTTTCGACGTCCCGAATCCGTTTTTCGGGTCCGTTTCGCTAAATTCAAACCCGAAAGTCTCCAAATCGTCAGTCAAATCCGTTGACTTTAATTTTGACCAAGAATTCGAAATTTCGGAAGGTCATACTTTATGTTTTTCGACGTCCTGAATTTGATTCCGAAGTTCGTTTTGCCAAATTCTAACCCGAAATTCCCGAATCGAGCTTGTAAACCCAAAAGGCTTAATATTTTAATATTTTGATTATTTAAATGAGATTTGGTCAATGATTTATTCAATAAAAATATTTTATGAAGGTACTCGTGTTTCACTTGACAACAACAACAACAACAAAACCCAATTCCCATATGTATGGGGTAAGGGGGAGGTAGGGTAGTAGGCTGCTCCCAACGCCAGGTTGGGAGTAGCTTCCGTGGAAGACCTCCGGCAGTCAGAAAATTAAAAATATAGATAAAATGCAGTGCATATATAAATAAATACATAGCTAAACAATATTCATATGCAGTCATTAAAATCATATGTGCGTCTGTAACAGGAATTAATCCCTGCATAATAATTCCTGCGAAAGAATCTCTGCATATAGACAGAAACATAAGACCCGGCTAAATTTAAAAGAGGAAACATGAAGAGAATGATACACAGAAGTCAACGATAGCAAGCGTAGTTCTAATCCTTCATAAATACCAATAACAGAAACATATAAAAAGTAGAAGTCATGGAAAATACTACAAAGACATTAAAGAAGACAGAGATGATACACCCTATAGATGTGACCCACACTACTCGACTACCCTAGTCTTTAGCCTCCATATTTTCCTATCAGAGGTCATGTCTTCGGTAAGGGCTAAATCCCTCAAATCAGATCTCAAGCAGTCTTCCCACTTCCGCCTTGGTCGTCCTTTCCTTCTGGCACCGTCGACTGTAATCGATTCTACCCTCCTGACCGCATCCGACGGTAGTCGTCTAAGGACATGCCCAAACCACCGTAGTCTTCCCTCCCTCAATTTTTCAGAAACAGACACCACCCCCAAGGACATCCTAATAGCAGAGTTAGTCGTCATATCCCATAGAATTACCCGTAGGTTTCCGTATATTATTTAAATAATATTTAGATTATTTATATTAGGATTCCAAATGGATTTTTTCAATTCGTAGGATCTAGCGCTGCAGCAGAACGTGATCGACAGACCCAGTAATAGGCTTCCCTATCTGATTTCCTAGACTGTTACAGGTGTGTTTCCTGATAGTGTTATATTATAGTTTTAAAGTATATAAATATCTGAATATTGTGTATCTGATTTCTGATTTACGTATATTTCTGGTATGATTTCTGGTTACGGTATTTATCCCGTTTTCTGAATACTGATTACCCAACATCTGAATTACCATACATTACTGATTTGATTTTTGATTTCTGTATTTCTGTTTATGGTTTTCAAGCTTGAAATATTCTTATGTTTTTAAAGAATTCTTCATTGTTTTATACGAATACATTCATGTTCATTTCTATCATTGGGGGGAATATTGTTGGAGGAAGATTACTGCAGGCTCCTCGACTGTGTGCTCAGGGCCTTACTGTTACTGGTTGTGCTCAGGACCTACACAAACAGATTGTGAAAGGATGGGGGTAGTGTTCATGTTTTCAAAACATGTGCATAAACAAATTTTATTGAAATATTTCGTTAGTATGTTTTTATACACAGTTTGGAGCACATTGGGCTTTTTAGCTCATTCTGTAAATTTTAACATTTTTCAGATAACAGCAGACCGTAAGCTAGCAGATTTGGCATCATGAGAAATCAACTACTTTATTTTGTACGAACATATATTTCTATATGTTTTTCGGTTATGTTTGGTGACATGTATTTTATTATCGTTTTGGATATATCTGTATTATTAATATTATGTTCTATATTATATTTAACGTTCTATAAGTTATATATATAAAAAAAACCTCTGAATGGGATATGTGGCTACTTAGGTTTGAGTCTATCTTATAGACTGAGTCTGGGGGTTACATTTGGATTGGAATTCTACCTATTAGTTTATTCGAAGACAAGTCTATTCCCGCAAGTGCTGACAACAAAAACCCATAAAAAGTAAGTAGTCGACCTCCGAAGACGATCTCATTATTGAAATTGTTCCCATAGTAAGACGGACGGTAGCCATCGTAAAGAGGATCCGTCCAAGAAGTAACATTGTCAACACAGTCAATGTCACCAGAAAGACCATTTCTTGATAGATCTAAAAATATGCAATTCCCTCATTTGGCAAATTTGTAATGGTATTCGCCCTTTGAACCGGTTCCCTCCGAGGTGTAGTTCTTTTAACTTTGGCTGTTGTTGTGAATGTCAACAATTTCCAACTCCATGCTCTTCGACAGGGCATATGGGAATGCTCCAGACAAGAGATTTTTGCTGAGATAAAGCCATCTTATTTTAGGTAAACTTGAGTTTTTGGGAAACAAAGCTCCTGTCAGGTTGTTTCCGGATAACCCCAAATATATCAGACAACTCATATTGCTTGTCATACCTTGGGGCATTTCTCCTTGGAACTGATTGTCCGATAAGTCCAGCATCTGAAGTTGGTTCCCCAAGAACAGTGGCAGATTGCCATTGAAACTGTTGTTGGAAAGATCTAAATGGTGCAGCTGTGGAAAATTCAGGCCGATATCTCTGGGTAATGTTCCATGCAAGAAATTGTCAGAAATGTCGAGAAAAGTAAGCCTTGAGCTTATATTCTGGGGGAAGGGACCAGTCAAGTTATTGCCTCCTAGCCATAATTCTGAAGTGATATTTCGAAACAGCCAAGGAGAAATTCTCTTGAGGTTGCAACCACCTAAATACAGAGTATTTAGGCTGAAAGATGGAGAACAAGTTGGAGACTCCATCTCTGATTCAACTTCCAAGTGGTTGAAATGAAATATCAAGTTCATTGAGCCTCGACATATTGGCAAAAATGCAGAGCGAAATCACGCCTTGAAACTCATTACTTGATAGAAAAAGTGACTCGATATTTTTCAGATTGCTAATTAGCAAAGAAGGAAAAGAGCCATTGAATTGATTGTAAGAGAGATCCAGATGCTGAAGCAGAAACAAGTTGTCAGGCAGACAATCTGGAATATTGCCTTCTAGCTTGTTATCAGACACATCCAAGTAATAAAGAGAAGGAGATTTCCCCCAACAGAGACTAGAGCCGTTGCGTATGGAATTATCACGCAGATCCAACTTTTGAAGGCACTTCAGTGTTCTGAATGCTGCACAGATTTTCATCACGACATTACTAACATTTAACCTGTCCGATTAAATTTATGTAATAAATATTTGCATGAATATCGAGCATATTAAACAAATTTATGAATGAAAAATTACGTTTGTAAGATGAAAATAATACACTTGGATGTTTACCATGAACCGAAACGAATCCTCCTATATGATTCCCTGGCAGTTCAAGTTCCTGCAACTCCTCAAACTGAGCAAACAAGGTTGCGTTTGGGTACCAGAGTTCAACCTCGTTGTCTCTTTGTCCCCTCCAGTAGTGAAAGAAGATGCTATGAATACGAGTACGAGTGGCATCACATTCAACGCCCTCCCACTCGCAACATTCTTCTCCATACCAGTTTGAGAAAGCTGACGCCACTGGACTGCTCATTGAATCTTTGATTTGTAGAAGAGCTGCTCTTTCCACTTCTAAGCAGCCTTGGCAATCGATGCAAAGAAGCAAAACTAAGAACGATATATAAAAACCTGTAATTTCCGTCACAAACCTAGGACTAGCCATGTCTTCTTTATTTGATCAATGAGCAATATCTGTCAATATTTATAATTGGCATTTTGCCTCTTTCCACAAGCCAAGTGGAATTTCTTACATAGTTTGCATTAGCAATGAAGTTTCAGTTGTTAGAATCAGAGATAGAAGACAGAAAAAAAGACTCTTTTGGGCGTCTTAGTCAACATGACAGTTCGAACACGGCAAAAAAGAGGTTCTTATTTTTCATTAGGAGGGAATTTCACAACAAATATTAACATCCAAATATACATAAGATTTGTATTTGAAGGATTAAAGATGTATAATTCAATTATACATAATATTTGACAAAATTCATGCAATCTAACTGAAAACTTAAAAAAAACCATGCAATCTGCATGCACTTCTTATAATATAATTTGAATTAATTAATTTAGAAGTAAATTTATTGCCTTGAACATGAGTAGTCTATTTGCTCTAACTGAAAGCTTTCTATGGTCCAACTAGGAAAAAAGTGAAAAGGGCAAATTCTTTGGCTTGTTTTTTCCACAAAATCAACATGGAAAATAGGACTACTTCTAAGAAGTAAGAAATCAACTGCCCAATATGTAAGTTTGACTTTGGTAAGTTTCCTAGCAAATCTATGCTATGTTGTCATTATTACGACAATGATATAAGTACGTTTTTTTAACATAGCCACTTATTTCCAATCTATTGATTGACTAATCCAAAGCGGTTACTGCAGAGGCCTATTATGGGCGATCCTCCTAACCCGATTTTTTCCATTCATGATGCCAAGATTTGAACCCTTCAAAATTCAATAGCTCAAAACAAAGTGCAGATCAATGTCGATGAATGAAATCTAGATAGAATTAATCCCAAGATTCGATCAAATTCATGATTTGAAGACAGTATGCAGGCATCTAGGTTCACATTCCTCTACCAAGGCTCCATTTTCAGAAACCAAAATAATCGTACTAACCTTACACGGAACTATTTTGCCAAATAGATATGTCCATCACAAGCTCACGCTGTTGATATAGAAGAAGCTTGATGCATTTGCTCTCGATTGCGAGCTCCTATAAACAAATCAACCAGATTAGCTTCCTTTTTACAGGCATTAAACACTAATGTTCAAAGTAGATATGAAATCGATAACCTAAAGACTAATAAATTATGAGCATTACACTGCAAAATACCTTTATGAGACTCAAGGCTCGGTGTGTTCCAATTTTTCAATCTCTGCTGCATTTTGAGGAATCTTTGCAGCTGAACCTGTTTCAAATGCTTTGCCTACTAAGATATTAAAAAAACGAACGGCAGAAACAATTCCTTGAGCTAATCGAAACACATCCATACGAATGAAAAACTACAGAACAAATTTGCATTTTTCTATAATAAACCCATAATTCGTAATTAAAGATCGCAGAGATTGACTGATTTAAACGATGAACCAGGTTTTTTAGTACCTCTTTGAAAATTGGGAATGGCAGTGAGCACAGTGTGAAGAGAAGCTTATACTTCAAGCTAGCCTCAGCGAGAGCACCGTTACCGTTGCCTCCAACTCCACCCATTTATACATGATGCCGAATCACCGTTTCCTAAAAAAGAGCCGTTGGATAGAAGAGAAGGACCGTTAGGAGCAGCATCTAGACTAGAAGTAGAAGGAAGAGTTGTATTTGAAGCTAGAGATTTTTAAAAAATAAAATAAAAAAGAGATTGAAAACGTCGACAGCGTGGTTCGAACCTGCGCCGGCGTGGCCCTCGGATTTCAGGTCTGTCTCCTTTACCCCTCAAACATATCGACTATTGATGCTTAAAATATTTTTAATATTATAATTATTCGCTTTCGAATCAGCGTTGCTTAAAACAGAGCCGATGGGCAGAAAATGTAAACTAAAAGCAATACAAAACACAAGAAAAGCAATTCGTCTAATCACATGATATAAAATTAAATTTATTAAATTAAAATCATGATTAAATGGATAGAATATAAAACCAAACATAGAATCATAATAATTTTTATTAATTGTCTCATTAATTCCTCCGTTAATTAACGGTAATAGTTAAGTAGCTATAAGCGTGGTTTATCCTTAGAAGTCGTTTGTTCAAAGAAATAAAATCTTTACCGGGAAATAAGGAGTGAAAATCGAATGACATTAATCTATACTTTTGAAAAAAAATTGAAAAGCAAAGTAAATTAAAAGAGAAAGAAATGAAGTAGTTGATTGCGGCGTGTGAAACGAAGAGCTGCAAGCCATGCCTTCCTTTTATAAGAAAAAAGTGTATAAATCCATAAGAGGGTGACTGAAACCACTACCCTCATTCTCACAACAAATATTTTGAGAATTAAAGAATATTTATTTATTTCCTTTAGTAGGTGCATTTTGCTGTGGTAGGAGTTATGATAATATACATACTAGATAAAGTGTTCATCGAAATTTGAAGTTTTAAACATGATTTTGATAGATATCGTTAAGTGTTGGTGTGTAAATAGGCATTTCACCACACATGGTTCTTGGGACTTGGATGAATCTAATTATAATATGCTTCATCAGGGTGCATGCTGCAAGGAGAAATGCAAAAATGGGAACCTTAAGATTCAATCTTATCCTACACAAAATGATAATAGTAAAATGAAACAAAGTATACAACTGATATCCAACTTCTGTGCACTGGCATAAAGAGTAGGGGTCTCTACTCTGTCGTTGCATTTGATTTTAAGTTGAACTCCGCAGAGGCCGGGATTGCCTATATAACTGTCAGTACTAGAATTCATAAACGCGCCGCCCATTGGTATCATGCCTGATAGATTGTTGAAAGAGAAGCTAAAAAAAGAGAGAAGCAAGCTCAGTTAATTCAGGGGGTACCCAACCGGAGAGATTGTTGTGTGAAAGATCTAGGCTTTCTACAACTCTCAAGTTTCCCATCGATGAAGGTATTTGACCGATCAGAAGGTTGTGTGAAAGATCTAGGCTTTCTACACCTCTCAAGTTTCCCAACGATGAAGGTATTTGACCGATGAGAAGGTTGTTCGACATGTTTAGCCAAAGAATCTCAGTCAATTGTGTCATTTGGATTGGAATTTGACCGCTTAGTTTATTCGAAGATACATCTATTCCCTTCGAATACGAAACATAGCGTGCACTATAAATGTGTGGTGTGATATCTATTGCATTCCAGGAGGCAGTTTGTAGATAACCACCGTAAGAACTATCCGTCCAAGAAGTAATGTTGTCGATACAGTCAGGAATGTCACCAGAAAGACCATTTCTTGATAGATCTAAAACATATAATTCCCTCATTTGGCAAATTTGAGATGGTATTCGCCCTTTGAACCGGTTCCTATTTAGTAATAGTGCTTTTAACTTTGGGAGGACAGGCAAGTATGTGGAGAGTTCACCTGACAAGTCATTACTCCGTTGAAGCTATTTTTGGAAAGCTTTAAATGACCCAGCTGTGAAAATTTCAGGCTGAAGTCTATGGGTAATTTCCCATGCAAGAAAATGTCAGAAATGTCAACAAGAGTAAGCCTTGAGCTTATGTTCTTGGTGAAGGGACCAGTGAAGTTATTGCCTCTTAACCATAGTTCTGAAGTGATATTGTAAAACATCCATGGAGGAATGTTTCCCAAGAGTGAGTTCTAGGTTAAATCTAAGACATCAAGGCGTTCTTGTCTGGAGACAGAACCGGTATTGTTCTTGAGGTTACAACCACATAAACGCAGAGTATTTAGACTGAAATATGGACGGTAACTTGGTGAGTCTCTCTCTGATTCGACTACCATGTGGTTGAAGGAAATACCAAGTTCACTGAGCCTCGACAGATTGGCAAAAATACAGAGTGAAATGATGCCGTGGAACTCATTTCTTGATAGAACAAGTGACTCAATATTTGTAAGGTTGCTAATCGGCAAAGAATGAAAAGAGCCGTTGAAATGATTGTCAGAGAGATCCAGATGCTGGAGCGAAACCATCTTTCCCAAACGCAAATTTATGCTTCCAAAGAGATCGCTATCAAACAGGATCAATTCTTTCAGAACCAGGTTGTGGCAAAGACAATCTGGAATATTGCCGTGTAAGTTGTTGCTAGACAAATCCAGGAAATAAAGAGAAGGAGAATTACTCCAACAGAGATTTGAGCCATTGTGTATGGAATTGTCATGCAGATCCAACTTTTGAAGTTGCTTGAGTTCTCTGAATGCTGCAGTGATTTAATCATGAAAATATGCTTTCTATCAATAAAACAAACAAAAACAGATAATACCCTCTTCCCATGCTCCCAAGGAATGGAGATATAAATTGAGGTTTAGAATATTTACCGTGAATTGAAACGAATCCTCCTATATGATTCCCTGGCAGTTCAAGTTCCTGCAACTCCTCAAACTGACCAAACAAGGTAGCATTCGGGTACCACGGTTCAACCTCGCCATCGCTTTTTTCCCTCAAGCAGTGAAAGCAGATGCTGTGAATACGAGTACGAGTGGCATCACATTCAACGCCCTCCCACTCGCAACATTCTTCTCCATACCAGTTTGAGAAAGCCGACGCCACTGGACTGCTCATTGAATCTTTGATTTGTAGAAGAGCTGCTCTTTCCACTTATAAGCAGCCTTGGCAATCAATGCAAAGAAGCATAACCAAGAACCATCTATAGAAACCGTTAACCTCCGTCACAAACCTAGGCCTAGCAGCCATGCCTTCTTTATTTCATCAACGAACAATATCTTTCAGAATTTATAATTGGCATTTTGCCGCTTTCCACAAGCCGAGTGGTTCTTACTTGGTTTGCATTAGCAATGAAGTTTCTGTTGTCTGAATCAGAGGTAGAAGACAAAGAAGAAAAAGACTCTTTTGGGCGTCTTGGTCGACATGACAGTTCCAACACGGCAAAAAAGGTTTTTTTTTTTCAATAAGAGTGAAGTTCAGAACAAATATACATAGATTTGCATTTGAAGGATTAACACTGTATAAATTCAAATATACATAATAAAGAACATGGGTAGTCTATTTGCTCTAACCGAAAGCTTTCTATGGTCCAACTTGGAAAAAAGAGGAAAAGGGTAAATTATTTGGTTTGTTTTTCCAGAAAATCAACACCGAAAATAGGACTAGTAGGAAGTAAGAAACGAATTGCCCAATATGTAAGTTCGACTTTGGCAAGTTTCCCAGCAAATCTATGCTATGTTGTCATTGTTATGACAATGATATGTGTACGTCTTTAACACCATGTTTCAGCCTTTCAAAATTCAATAGCTCAAAACAAAGTGCAGATCAATGTCGATGAATGAAATCTAGCTATAATTAATCCCAACATTCGATAAAATTCGTGATTTGAAGACAATATGCAGGCATCTAGGTTCATATTCCTATACTAAGGCTCCATTTTTAGTAGGGGTGTAAATAAACAAAACATTCCATGAATTGTTCGTGACCATTTGTAAAATATTTGTTTACTAAGCTAAATAAACAAGTATGAATAATTTTTTATGTTTATTTAATAAAAGAACGAACACGAACATACGTGTGTTTCATTCGTTTATGTTCACGAACAAGCTCATTTATTGACTCATTGATAAACCAATTTACTCGGTTCTATTTTTCCTTTTATCCTTTTATATTTTAAATATTGGTGAAGTAATAGACTAAATTGAACATAAAATAAACTTCAAACTTCAAATTATGAAACCCAAGAAAAATAAGGACTACTAGTATAAATTTATCATTTTTTTGACTCGTAAATAAAACAATAAAAAAAATTCTGGTTGCCTTAACATTAAAAAAAACTTGTTTATGAACCTTAAATCAACATGTGCATTGATGTTAAACAAACGGACACGAATATCTTTAAAAATAAATAATTAAATACAATATTAAAAATTTAATTGAACATGAACTAAACATGAGTATATTAAAAAAATAAACAAATGAACATAAACAAAACTTTATTAGTTCGAACTCGATTCATTTTCTCCCTAATTCTCAGCAACCAAAAAAGTTGTACTAACCTTAAACGGAACATGGACTATGCCGAGTAGATATGTCCATCACAAGCTCACGCTGTTGATATAGAAGAAGCTTGATGTATTTGATCTTCGATTGCGAGCTTCTATAAACACAACAACCAGATTAGCTTCCTTTTTACAGACATTAAACACTAACGTTCAAACTAAATATGAAAATCGATAACATAAAGACTAATAAGTTCTTTTTATGTGGATCATTCTCGGTTCTTTTTTACTTAAAATTATATATATAACAATAATATGTAAAGGGTCTAATTTAGTACAAATTAATAAATTAAAATAATTAAAATTATTTTATGTCATTTTATAATTTTAATATTTAATATATTAACGACTTGTAATGTATTTAGATGAAAAAAATCATTTTATTGTCGTAAAAAAATAATTTTAACAATCGAGAATAAAAAATTATCTCATGTTTTGGATTTTCAGGGGTAAATCCCTATAGCTACCACACAAGTTTTAAACATCCTTCATTTTGGACATATTTTCATGATTTAGTTCAATTTGGTCACTTAGATGAATTAAGTAATTTTTGAAATCGGCCTAAATTTCCTACTTAAGTTTATTTTGATCCTAATTAGGTTAAATTGTTAATAATACCTCCTTTTCCTTCTTCATAAAATTGATACCTAAATTGTATTTGATTAATAATTGAATTTTATTTTGCTTAAATGACTTCAATTGGGTTTCAAATTGAAGTGAATTTGATTAATGAATTGAATCAATTTTTAAGTTTCAGTCTGGTCCAAAAATGATATTTGGAATAAAATTTAAGATTTAGTTATTATTTATAATTTGAAGTTTTCGAACATATCTTCATGATTTTGCACAATCTTCTTATATTTGACATTTGAATTTCGTTTAGGAATAATAATGCTATTTGTTGAGTCAATCAATCAGATGAAATAACCAAGAGGGGGAAAATTGACAATTAAAATTTTAGTGGAAGCTTTGACAGAAAATATAAATAATTTGCACAACAATTTAGAGTGGTTCGACTTTCTCAACCAAAGTATACGTCCACTACCTTAGCTATCCACACTAAGGATTTTCCACAAATTCACTAATTTTTCTTTCTTTTGAGGACAAAGAGTAACCTTACAACTTCCTCAAGAATTATACCCCAAATTCTTGAGACACTCTCTCTCAAACAGAAAATTACAAATTCGCAAACTTAGAAGAAAAACCTCACAAGGTAAGATTGTTTGCATAATTCTATAACAAAGAAAGAACACTAAAAAATATATACAATTTAGCACAAATGGTGTTCTTGAAAGCAAAATGAATATTGAATGGATGCTGGCTTGATTTGCTCAAACAATAAGTTTAAGGATTTCTCTCTTATTTGTTTCTCAATTCTTGTTTCTTGTTATTATCAATGGTTTCAAGACATGTTTAAATACCCCTTGAATGAATTCTGAACGTTGGGGAATGATCATAGAGTCAATATAACCATTGTTGTATGTTTCCCACTTCAAAAAGCTTATGGGTACTACCTGTATAAAATTCAAATATTTTGATCGTTGCAATTTCAACGATATCGATACTGTCCAAGGAGTATCGATACTACTTTGTATAGTAGTATCGATATCGTCCCAATGAGTATCGATACTACTGTGTAAAGTAGTATCTATACCGATCATGGTATCGGTGCCATATTTGTATTTGATGTTTAGCTCGGAGTCAAAACCAAAGGAGTAGTATCAGTACCCATGACCATGGTATCGATATTACTATATGTTAGGTTATCGATACTGGTAGGGTATCGATACCCATTTTGCATTCGATGTTTGAGGGGTATCGATACTGTTAAGGCAGTATCGATACTACCCTATTGAAATCTCAATTTTTGACTCGATTATGGTTCAAAATACTTTGTAAAATTATTTCAAAAATATTTAAAGTGTAAATCTCAAATTTTCATTTAGTAAGGAGTAAAATTGATATTTGAAAACTTAGAGTACTATCTGTTATATTCGAATAATTGAATTGAATATAATATAAAATCTTAAAATTAATTAACAGTTTATTTGTTATATCGAAATATCAAAATGTTTTCAACAATCTCCTCTTTTTGATATAACAAAATATTTTAGAAATTTTAAGATTTTCTTTTAAAAAAAATCACTTTAAAAAATTACTCCCCCTACTTTAAGATTTCTCCCCCTTTTTGTTAAATAAAAAAGACTCTATAAATTATAAACAAGATAGCCAAAGGGAAATAAATATTTTGCTGCTAAGATCAAGCTAAGAGAATTGGTAGTCAACATGTTCAATATTCATATTTAATATGCAATTGAGATTGGTCATAATTTACTAAGATGCAAAATGAAGAATAAATGAAATAAACATTCAATTAAAAAACTAATCATTAATAATCATTCAATCAAAACAAACACACAATATCCAAATTTGTTAAACAACCAAATCCATCAAAATGTTTAAACAATGTTAGGTTCAAAAGATAGATCATCCTAAGAAAACTAGCAATATCAATCAGTCATCCGTAGGAGGATTGGATCGATGTGCTCTAAGGAAAATAACATCGCGAGTGAGTGCGTCGAGCCTCTCATATACTGCATTGAATCTGTTTTTCATTGCTTCAGGTTGAGCTCAAATTTCCATTTGATTCTCCAACTGTTGAGTTCCCATAGCAGTCAAATGGGACTCCAAGAATGTGAACCGTAGATCCAATGTCTCCATAAAGGATTGAAAATATGGAGGCATTGTACTGTCTTGCCTAGTTGGCTCTTCTCCGGGTTGATTTACAGGATCGTCGATATCCTGTAAAAGATCTTCGAGGTCTTGAGCCGGAGCCGAAACTGCTCGTGACGAACTAACACCGGGAGTTTTCTTCGTTGATCGAACCCAATGGTATTTTTCGCCTGTCTATCCCGATTTTCGAAGATATTTGAGGTTGATTTAGGTACCTAAAGGGATGACTATGTCGAGATCTACCTTAAGACCGAGTTTGATGAATATATTGCTAAGTAGACAACCATAAACTAATGTTTCAACTCGTTTGGAATGAATGTTGTTTACGGTTTCTACTAGTTCCCCAAAGGTAATTTGAGGGAAATTTATTTTCTTATTATGTTGGATGCAATGGATCCACCATATGTCAATAGCTCTAAAAGAGGAGTATTTTCCTCCGGATGGTCTAAACCACCAAGAGATCATTAGATGAAGAAAACGCTCTTGATAGTCTAAAACACTAGCACTCGTATTGACCTCATATGGGGAAACCACTAAATCTCTCTTATTATCTCCCCCTTGATTATCTAATCCAAAGGCTGCATCTATGTAATCAAAGTCTATAGTAATGTATTGGCCCAAGAGATAAGACCGAATAATTTTGGTGGCAGTTTGGGACTCGTTTTGTAGGCAAACAACATTAGAATAGAAAATGCGTACTAGTTGTTGAAATACAACTGACCTTACTTTAAAAAGTTTATTGAACTTCCACGCTTTGAGGGTAGGGAGGTATTTAAAGTTCATCTCTTCCATAGCTTGTAAAGACGGGATACGATCTTCCCT